ATTAATTAAATAAGTTGGACTCATATTTTTAATTGTTTAAGTCGAGCCTAATCGACTCATTTATCAAGCGAATACGAGTTTCAACATAAGGTATATTTGTCTTGACTCGACTCTAATAACATCTCTAAAGTGAATATATAATTTTCGATTACACCACACACACATAATATAGTTACATTATAAATTAAATATAGATGATATAAATAATAAAATGCTCTCAAAAGTCATAACTTTCGAATTCCGGTATTTTAAAATCGTGCTATTGGACTCATTAACAATTGATTTGGTATAAATAAATTTTTGCAATTCCTTGTCGATTTAGGAACCGACGTGCGAAAATAGTACTTTGTCTTTTATTTGACCGCAATTTAAGATTGTATCCCATAAAATGTTCACTTTGGGTTTTAGTTCTTCATTTAGAGGAGAAAAAAATAGAATTAGAATCGCTTCAAGCATACCAGGGCATCATGAAATAACTTGCACCATTTATGCTATTCGTCTTGTTTGCTCCGAGGTGCAATCATTAATTTTTAGGGTATTGAAAGCTAGAGAGAGAAAAAAAAAAGAGTTGAATTCATCTATTCTAAAATTATACCACTATTCTATTTTATTGAAAATGCTCTCATAGCTACAGTGTGCACATGTTAATATGTCACCGCTTATTCGATATGCACACATTGGTGATGTATTTTTTTTAATATATTAGCATCATCAATGTGTGCATGCCACATAAGAAATGAGCATATTAATATGTGTCTATCATGGATAGAGGAATATTTCCCTCTATTTCATATACATTCCATTGGATAAATAATATGTGCCTACGATGGTGTTTCAATTATGCGTGTGGTCATCTAATCTATGGAATTAAATAAGAATTGAGAAGATGACTTCAAAACATGTGATCAATTTTTTTTTTTTTAAAAAAAAATAGACAGGAGTGTGAATGTGTGATAAAAAAGATGCATAAGCATGTCCTCATTTTTTAGTAATTTTATTGCTTTGGTAGTCATATTATTCCTGCATTGTATTTTTAACAATGACATAATACAAACAATAACTGGACATATTTTGTCGATAAAAAAGAAGTTATGTTGAAAAAAAATTCTTTTGATCACCATCGAGAGATCAATGATTTTCTCTCCAATATAATTAAAAATAAGTTAGTTCGTCTCGAAATTCAAACTGGTAGGAATACAACGGCTTACAGCTATGCCTGTCCAACATACTGAGCTCCAGGTATACAAAATATTATTTTTTTGCCTATTAGTCATTCTGTTAGGGCATCCGTATTTGTTAATTTTTTTCCCATTCATTCAATCAAAAAAGTACACTCTCTCTCTTCCACATCATTTCCAAATCACCTTTACACTAAATCTCTCTCCATTTAAACACACACCCACATCCCTACACATTCATTTAAATACATATGTGGGACCAATTTTATTAAAACAAAAAAAAAGTCAAGATTAAACAATTAAATTAACACAAAATAATAAAAAAAATAATAATGAATGCCCGTTTAATGGGCTGAATGAATTTGGGGGCCCCGCAAAATAATGAACGCCCATATTGGTTTTGAATGCACAGGTGGCATTTAAACAATTGAATGAGGGCATATTAATGGCACAAATGTGGGTGCCCTTACATAGAGAATTTATCTTTTCTTTTCTTTTTCTTTCTGTTTTTTTTACAATGAAGGAATAGTTGAACGAATGAATTTTGATATAAGTTTTAATTACAAAAATAAAAAATAAAAATTGCTAATTAAGGTACCAATTTGAGGGATCAATTAGATCATTTAATATCACTATAAGGAAACGATGAAATATCAATGAAAATATAATTTAATAGACTCCAACAGTAATTCCAATGATTATTTTAATGCAGTTTTGCTATGGAGCCATCGGATAGCTCGACCTATGGAGCTATCGACCCTTATTCACCAATAGTGTATTGACACGTGTCCTACAATAAGTACAATTTAGACAAATGTCAACACATTAAGTGGTGGATGGCTCCAGGGAGGATCTAGAAAATTTAATTGGGGGGATCAAATAATTTTCAATAATGACATACTTCATTAAAAAGACAAAGTTTCATTTCTAGAATAAAAAAAAATAGTTCAAGAAAATACATACCGTTCAAATTTTGTGACTATTAGAATTGTGCTCGACGTTCTATGTCAAGTCACGAAACCCATTGATAATTGATTATGTAGTAATAGATCTTGCAATTTTCCTTTCAACAAAGATAGTCAAAGAATCTATATATATATAATTACTAGCTAATAGCATTTAAGAAAACCAATTTAATAAAACCTCTAAAATTTTCTCTCCATTTTCGGTTACAAAATTTATAATTAATGTTTTTTACTTTTCACATTAATACATCCTATTGAGTGTAATCATGTATTTTTATATTATATTATATAATAATTAATACTAATACCAACTAATAATTATTCACAATAAATATAAATTGCATAATTATAAACAATTGTTTCAAGTTATTTATTTTAACATCAATATTATCTTTTTCTATTGTATCTCATGAAAAAATTCTTTAAAAACAATTAGTAAATTATTTTAATAGCATAGTCAAACAAATTTAGAATCTTATAAACAATTATTTTTGTAATAATAATAATAATAATAATAATAATAATAACAACAATAATAATAATAATAATAATAATAATAATCAAACTGCTATTATCTAATGATAATAAAATTGTTCATAATAATAAACAATTATTAATTTATTTTTCTTAATGATTAAATTTTAAAAATATAATATGTTCATTATCTAAAATTTTAATATTAAATATTCAAATATTACTTATAATATTTTATGTACATCTGTGCATGTGCACATGATAATTACTAGTTTACAAAAAAAGTCATCTTCCATTTACTTCAAAGTTTGGTTTTAACAATAGTCATAGCCGAAAATGCACGATCTGTGGTCACCGTAGGCACAAGAAGAGTAAGAATCAACCTTAATATATCAATCAATGGATATATCAAGGACTTAACAATAATAGTAAATTAACAATAATAGTAAATAAATAAATGTCATATTATTACTTAATAGAATATTGTGGAGAATATAATTTCATATTGTCTTAAATAATTTTATAATATTTAAATAAAAAATATTTTTTGTACTATACTCCGTGCATCGCACGGGTATCAACACTAGTATAAAAGGATGACCAAATACTCAGAAGAATCATGGAATTGTTAACGGATGATTGTTGCTGCGATTTATCTTTTAGCTTGCCTGTGCGAACTGCGAAAGAAGGAAAACTAATACACTGTCTCGTTGTGGTCCTGTGGAACTTGAGAGCCTGAGCTATTTTTTAAGTTAATTAAATTAGTTTATATTTGTTGTGTGGCCGTCCCGATTCCACTGATAGACTCATTGGCAGCGGAAGCTTGTCTTGAGCTCTTCTAACCGCTTGCAGTCCCTTCTCGAGCTACCGGCTATGCTGCTCGTTCACAGGCCACACGGACCGCTCACTTTCGGGCCCAGGCTGGTTCACGTGTTCTCTTAAAGGGCCCGTTTCACTCCCGATTACACCTAAACGCAAACACACAGTTAATGGTTGTTAATAACAACAATACTCGAGCTATTACACAAAGTAAAATGCTCAGGAAAGGAAATGAAAGAAAAAGGAACGAAAGACTCCCTTTGTCCGGCGACTGGAGAAGGGGGACACGAACTCGTCTCTCCCGGCTCAGATTGTCCTTCTTTCCGGCACCCTCGGTAAGTCGCGGCTCGGTGGTAACCAAGACCGGCAGCCCCGGTTCCTCGGCCCGTTCCCCGGGCTGCACCTCACACACGAGCCACGCACCCGGTCTCCCCGTCACCTAAGCTCACGTCTCAAACAGAGACTCGCCTCCGGCGATTAGAGCTCGACGACGGTGGCGACGGCACTATGGCGGCACTCCGACAGCACTCATGGCGACACTCACGGCGGCTCTCACAAGGGAAGTCACGAAGGGAACAGATTAGTGAGAGAGAGAGAGAGTGATCGGTTTTCTCACAGAGAGATGGGCGCAGCAGCTCAAGAGAGAGGAAAGTGAGAATTCGGTTAGGGCAAATGTGAGAGAGGAGTATTTATGGTGTACAAAGGATGGCTGGGATTTATCCCTAAATCCAACGGTCCAAAAGCATCCTGCCCTTTAAGTGTGAGAGAGGGCCAAGCCCAGTCGGGATTTGGGCCGAGATATCCTTGGGCCTGAGATAAGGATTTGGTTTTGGGCCAAATATCCTAACAATATTAGTTTGATTAATAAAAAATAATATAATATTATAATACATAAAAGGTGAAAGTTGGGCTGGGTTCTTTTAAATATATATCTAATGGGCCTTGGTCCTAGCCCACCTAATCAAAGTCAATAGATTTTTAGTTAATTGGTTACGGGGAATAATATAATTAAATATACTTAGTATATTATATTGTATATATACTTAGGTAGTAAAAAATAAAAGTTTGAGAGGGACTGTGGCCCCCCTAGAGTTATTGTCCATCCGCCACTAGATGATTTCATAAGAAAATCATTCGATGGCTCTATAGAATTTTCGTATTTCAGTGCTATTACATCCATATAAATTTTTTAAAGGAAATTCCAATAAAAAAATTTTGTTGGAATGATTTTTCATTGTAATTTTCATTGGATTATGACGATTCAAACAATAGATTTTCCAACGATTGAAACATGTGTAAGCAAAAATTCCAACATGCTCAAAACGTAAATTCATATAACAATAAACATTAAAAAAATGGCTAGACAAATAACAGTATGTCCCCACAATTCGGCACCTCAACTAATGTTTTCATTAAGAACCAAAGTAGATGATAAACGTGGCAAAAACAGTATGTTAGACAGCCAATGTTATTCATTTTCCTAAATAACGTTTTCTAGAATCCAATAACAGTATGTTAGACAAATACGACCTTATTATACAAACAAACATTGTAGTGAGTGTTATTATGTAAAATAATCCAAGACATCTACTAAATTGCAATCAATAGACAAGATTTAATTCCTATTTCTACTTTATTCATATGAGATGATGTTTATTTCTCAATCCTATAGTTCCACTCTCTATTTTATTTCATCTTCCAACACTAGTAGTACATAAGTGTACAATAATAAGATTTGTTCCTCAGTAAATAAAAAATCTCTCTAGCGAATACCTACTGTTTAATTAATAAACAAACTCCGCCAATGACCTCTTGACCTAGTGGTAAAGAGTGAGGTACCCTTGACATGAGGTCAAGGGTTCAAGCTCCCCGGAGCACAATGGTGGAACAATTAATACTGAGAACTGCAAGCGGCAGTGTGGGAGGCTGAAACTCGGTGGGAACCAACGGCTGGATAGGTGGGGCCAGCATGAAGTTGGGGGGACCAGCGAGCGATCACTTCGATGGGAACCAGCGGCTGGATAGGTGAGACCAACTTGGAGCTGGGAAGGCCAGCGAGCGATCACTTCGGTGGGAATCAGCGGCTGGATAGGTGGGACCAATTTGGAGCCCGGGAGCTATTTCCTCGAGGACTAGTCAGGCGCAAGCCTGAAATCTCGGTAAAAAAGAAAAAAAAAACACCCATTATTTTTTCTAGTGACCTCATCAAACACCACTCGGGTAGTCAAAGGGCAACGGCCTCACGAGCGACCCATTCTTTAAACTCGGGTGCACAAACCCGTAATTCCTAAGCACTTGATTATCCGCAAAATTCAGTGCTCTCTCTATTTCTATCCAACAAGAATCTCCCTTGTAATTTGGATTGTGGTCCCCACTGCACGGCTGGCACCCCGTAAAGTGGGTCACAAATGGCCGCCGCCAGTCATCGGGACCCTCCCCGACGTGCCTCCGCATCTCAGCCTCCGCATGCCGCCGCCTGAGCATCTTGACACGTTTTTCGATCTCTATGTACTTCTTAGCAATATTGTCAAACTTTTTGACAAGTGGTAGCCAATAGCCGTGCAAATAATATTGATTTTCCACGTAAATCTTGTCCGTCCATTTTTTATCTCCTTTAAGAAGCAAGTAAACGAGGGCAGATTGATCGTCCGCGCCTAGGAACAACCTGTCCTTCAAAGTCTCTGATAAGATCTTGCCCCATTTGTTGTAGTCTGGGCTCATTGGGCCCATATTGGCCCAAACATCTAAAAACTCCACAGTCCACTGACAGTTGCGAATTAGAAACACACCAGCATTCAACCCAACCCAGCTCTTATCCTCGTAGATCATATTGGGAAAACCGTGGACCACCATATTGTGACCTTCGTACCTTTCCAAAGGAATCGTAAACTCCATATCCGTAAAAACAGCATCCGAGTCGACCCAAAACAGCCACTCCGTTTCCGGATGGGCCAACATGGCAGCCTTGAGGACTGGAATTTTGGCCCAAAAATATCTCATGTTGGGCTCCAAATAAGCGTTGTTGTAGAAAATTTTGTACCCATGAATTCTACAATAGTCAACCTTGTTCTTGAAAAATCTAAGCAAAAAGTGATCTCCACTTGGGGATTTGCAAGGCGAAGTCTGAGAACCACTTACAACCATCACACTATTGTTTGATGCCAAATTTGGGTTGTTTTTTAGCCAAAGCCCTCTTTTCATGTCCCAATTATAAAAATGGATATTTGGGTCGTCGTACAATGTTTCTTTGACAGGGTCTTTGGTGCTGGGCTTGGACAAGGACGATGACGAAAAGTTGGGCTCTTTGTTATAGATCCATAGAGTGAAAAGAATTAGAGTTGCCCCAAACGATGGTAAACACAATTTCATGTGTCTAGGAAAAGAAAATGATGATTTTGTGTTGTGGGGGATGGGTTTGGGCGCCATAACTGGTTCAGAGTGGTGAGATGTATACGCAAACAGGATTCAATAAANAGGGCGAATGAGGGATCTCATGCCAACCAGACCGACCAAACAAGGAATTTTGACAGAGCATTAAAACGTTTTTTTGACCATTCATCGATAAGAAAATGCGTCCAATCCATTCTTTTAAATACCTAGTTATATTATTATTATTATTATTATTATTTTTTTAAGAAACGCGATGTAACTTTATATATTTAGCGTTTTTCCTGAAAAGTTTATGCAAAATACGGAAATAGCACTTTTTTTTTACGCTATTTTGCGTTATTTTGCGCTACTTATATTTCTGCAACGATATTTAAACAATAAAATATTTAAAAAACTTGTATTTTTTAGTTATTAGAGTTATATTTTTAAATGACTAAAAACTAAAAATTTTGATAATGATTTCAAATTAAAAGTTTGAAAATGAAAAATCCTAAGTTGAATAGTGGAAAATCTATACTTATATAAAAAACCATCCTATTTACTAGAAATAGTAGGCAGAAACGTCAAAGGTAATTAATGCATTCTATTTCTATCAAATTTTTCAATTGTATTATTATTTTATTGCTAAAAAACCGGTTTGCATTAATTCATCCTTAATTGATGTGTTTTACAATAACATCGGGCAGATAGACTTCAAGTAAAAACATGTCTCATTTCAAATTTAAATTTAAATATTAAAATTTCTAACCATTTTGTTACATTAAAATCCTGAATGAATTGTTTGCCATAAAATCAGACAAAATAATAATTGCATAGAATTCATGTCTCATTCAATTTAAATTTTAAAATTTCTTATCATTTTGTTACATTTCCGAATGATTTTTTTCCCATAACATCGGACAAAATTAATAATTGCATAGAATTCAATTATGATTTCGAATTTATATCAAAGATGTTTAATAATCGTATAGAATTTCAAAGATGTTTATTTATTATAAAAAAATTAAATTGTAAAAAAATATTTGTGTATATTTTGTAAAATGTTTGTACAAAATGTTTTACTTTAAATTTATTTACATAATTTAAATTAATTACATTAATAAATAATATGAACATACATTAAATATTTTAATTACATAAAACAAAAAGAAGAAGAAGACTACATCAATAACTTGTATAAATAATAATAATGACATTATATTACAATTAATTATATAATAAAATAATATGAGTATTATACGAGGAACAAGATTACGTAAAATTGTTATTTTTCTTATATCAAGGAATATATATATATATATAATGAAATCAAATTTATATTATTATAAACATGTGAGCGAGATAATATATTAATTAATTTACGGTCTAGCGCTACCAGACTCAGGTTCAATGTTCCGAAAAAGAAAATGATGTTGATGAAAAGATGTAAAAAGATAGATGATTAAACTATATTATTTTTTAGGTCTGAACGGATAAGCCCTATGGTCCACTTATTTAATATCTCCCGTGAATCGCACGAACTACTTAAAGGACAAGCTCTGTGGAAATGACTCGTTTAATACTTCTTTTCCGTACATCGCACGAGCTACGTACTAGTGAGTTTTAAGGAAATTGGAATTGAATCATATGCTCATCCATGTCTTTATTCACATGTAAAATTGAGACTTTATAGAGACGGAAAGATTTTAATGTTGACATTGTTATATAAAACGTCATCAATTGCACAAGGCAATGGTGTCTTGTGTATAGACTCTGTAGATTTACAAATAAAGTGTCTGGGGAATGCGAATAAATGCACTTTTCTTGTGACATTTTTTGTCCTATTATAATAAATGAATAACAAATTTGACTTCAAACACATTATTATGCTCAATAAGAAAATTCAAAGCAAGAAACACCCATTTTAAGACTGAAATTTCAAAAGAGAGCATATGATTTATTTGTTGATTTTCAAATCAAATTTTCATTCTTTATTAGAGAATATTGTGTTTTTCGATGTCTTCACGCGGAATAAAAATGATTATCATATGCGTGGCTTTCTTCTTTAGACAAAAAAAATCTTATATAAGGCAGCTATCAAGTATGACATATTTTATGAAAAATGCCTGGTGACTTTCAAGTTTCAACGCAAGCCAAGCCTCACTAAAATTAAAATCCCAAGATTCGTATTAGGCTAATAACACAAAATATTTGCAATATAATTTCAATTTATTATTTAAATTTTGTAAATTTAAAAATTATACGCTTCAATTTTCAGTCTTTGTTATTTTTCAATTCACTGTCAATTTTCACCCACTGTTAGTTTTTAAGCAAAGCATTTTTTCCTTCTTTATTATAGAATATTGTTTTTTCTTCGATGTCTTCGTGCGGAATAAAAAATAAAAAAAATTGGTAGCCTAAAAAGTCGATCAAATTGTCAATTCAACTATCAAGTGCTTCATTTTCATATTTATTTGTCTTCTTTCATACTATCTAGTTCGTGAATATTTGATTGTCGTATGCAGGGCTTGCTTCTTTAGACAAAAAAATCTTATATAAGGCAGCTATCAAGTATGACCAATTTTATGACCAATGCCTGGTGACATTCAAGTTTCAACGCAAGCCAAGCTTCACTAAAACTAAAATTCCAAGATTCATATTAGGCTAATAACACAAAATATTTGTAATATAATTTCAGTTTATTATTTAAAATTTTGGAAATTAAAAATTATACGTTTCAATTTTCACTGATTGTTAGGCCATCTCCAGCCCTTATCTCTACTCTAATGCGGACTTTACTCTACTCTAGAGTAGAGTTGAACATTCATCTCCAGCCCTTATCTCTACATTTTACTCTACATTAAATATATTATTTTTTTATTCATTTTTTATTTCAAATAAATTGGTATATATGTATATTTAATTTTATATAAAATGTTAATTACTCAAATAATAAAAATATATTTTATTTATTTTTATTTCGAATAATTTGCTATATATATGAATATGTAATATTATATAAATGTTTATTACCCAAATAGTAAATAATTAGTGCAAATTTACACACTAGACCATATATGGTTTAGACCATATATGAATTAGTGCAAATTTACACACTAGACCATATATGGTTTAGAGCATATATTCACATTTAAAAAATAATTGTAATAAATTGAATTTCTTAAAGAAGATACATATACATCTATGTACCGATTGAATCAAAACTGTTACTTTTGAAAATATATGAATTAGTGCAAATTTACACACTAGACCATATATGGTTTAGACCATATATGAATTAGTGCAAATTTACACACTAGACCATATATGGTTTAGAGCATATATTCACATTTAAAAAATAATTGTAATAAATTGAATTTCTTAAAGAAGATACATATACATCTATGTACCGATTGAATCAAAACTGTTACTTTTGAAAATATATGAATTAGTGCAAATTTACACACTAGACCATATATGGTTTAGACCATATATGAATTAGTGCAAATTTACACACTAGACCATATATGGTTTAGAGCATATATTCACATTTAAAAAATAATTGTAATAAATTGAATTTCTTAAAGAAGATACATATACATCTATGTACCGATTGAATCAAAACTGTTACTTTTGAAAATATATGAATTAGTGCAAATTTACACACTAGACCATATATGGTTTAGACCATATATGAATTAGTGCAAATTTACACACTAGACCATATATGGTTTAGACCATATATGAATTAGTGCAAATTTACACACTAGACCATATATGGTTTAGACCATATCTTCACATTTAAAAAATAATTGTAATAAATTGAATTTCTTAAAGAAGATACATATACATCTATGTACCGATTGAATCAAAACTGTTACTTTTGAAAATATATGAATTAGTGCAAATTTACACACTAGACCATATATGGTTTAGACCATATATGAATTAGTGCAACTTTACACACTAGACCATATATGGTTTAGACCATATCTTCACATTTAAAAAATAATAGTAATAAATTGAATTTTTTAAAGAAGATACATATACATCTATGTACCGATTGAATCAAAACTGTTACTTTTGAAAATATATGAATTAGTGCAAATTTATACACTAGACCATATATGGTTTAGACCATATATGAATTAGTGCAAATTTACACACTAGACCATATATGGTTTAGACCATATCTTATGCAAATTTTATTATGTATATATATGATCTTAGCCATTGATCTTTAGATAAGAATTCTACGGTTGATTCAAATTTATTATCTTTTTTATTCATTTTTATTTCAAATAAATTCTAATATATGTATATTTCATCTTATATTCATTTTTGGTGGTATTTTAATATTAAAAAATTACAAAATAAAATTAATATACATCCTTTAAAGTATTATTATTTTCCTCAATACTATTATTTCACATTTAAAAAATGATTGTAATAAATTGAATTTCTTAAAGAAGATACATATACATCTATGTACCGATTGAATCAAAACTATTACTTTTGAAAATATATGAATTAGTGCAAGTTTACACACTAGACCATATATGGTTTAGACCATATATGAATTAGTGCAAATTTACTTGTTCGAATGTGTTAAACTTTTATTCATGTGGTACTATTTTAATATTAAAAAATTACAAAATAAAAATATAATACATCAATAAATAAAAAGTACAAAATTATTTAGCATAAAAATACATTGCACAAAGTTATTTAACATAAAAACATATTTATTAATATACATTATACAAAAATTTATCATTAATAATACATTAAAAAAAAGAAAAAAAAATAAAAAATTCTGGCGTTCTGCTACAGTACTGCGCTAGAACTGGCGCAGTACTGTTTATTTATCTGATCTAGCGCTAAAATATAGCGCTGCCTTGGAGATATTTTTTCACGATACTTCAGCTTTTTGCGCTATTCTAAAGCAGCATTGGAGTGGCTCTTAGTTTTCGCTTTACTGTCAATTTTCACCCACTGTTAGTTTTTTATTAAACTTTTATTCCCCATCAAATTTATAACAACTATATATAAATTAT